TACGGCGCTCGCAACTTCATAAGGTCATATGAGCGCGCGGGACACATTAAACATTTTCAGTTGGTAGAACATTTGGAATTGTGCCCTGGTGGCCTACCCTTATCGATTTTGGACCACAAAAGGATCTTTAACGAGCACAACTTGCACACGGGACCTCTGAGATTTTTCGCTCTTCTCCGAGAAGGCTAGGTGTAGATCTTTCCTAACATAAGATCAGGGGTGTGACTGAAAGACAGCAGTAAGAAGGAGCCAGGGAATAGCAGTAGCAAGGCTGCAGAAAAAGTCAGGAGCCCAGAGGAGAGGGGTGGGGACAGAAATCTGAGGCGAAAGCAGACGAAAAAACATTGCTGGAGAGCTAACAGGAAAAGGGTGAAAGGAGACAATTTTAGAGAGAAAAAATTCCCTCGCTACCCGGATCCGAACCCGGGACCTATTGAATGAGAGGCGAACACCTTAACCTCTAGGCCACGAGAGCCCCCCAGTTTTTTGTTGCTTTTTTTTTGGGGGGGGTTGCTTCTGTTTGTTTTGTTTGTTCTGTTGGGGGGTTTTTTTTTGGGGGGGGGGTTGTTTGTTTTTTGTTCTTTTTTGTGGGTGATAGGAGTTCGTATTTCTGTTTATTTTTAGTTGAGGCTTATCTTATTTTTTCGGAAATGCAAATAGAAAGACATAAATCATTGCTCGTTGCATAGTTCTTCGATTGCTTTTTTAATTATTAATTTGCTTTCGTTGTTAAATCGCGTCGTGTATTCATGTAAATAAAAAATAAGTTGCTTCCCTTCAGATTTATTTCTTGAATGTACGCGCGTTTCTTTTGTGCGTGTTCAATTTTTTTTCTTAGATTATCTTTAATACTGTCTTTAATTGTGTTGTCTATAAAAATATCATCCTTTTGGACGGTAACGTGAATGATGACAATATATAGGGGGGGGATGAGGAGAAAGGGGAAGGGGGGATTACAGCGAATTACGGGCGATTTCCGGATTGAGAACCATGAATACAGGGTGCATGGAAGTGGAACTAAATTGGACAAAAGAATACTAATCCACACACCGAAAAAAGAGGCTAAAATAGCACCTGGACATGGATGGCTGGTGCCTCTATAAATAAATTATTGATGTCAAGGTAAAATATCATTTTGTGCACATGGGATTAGGTGACGAACTATGGCCCTCGCACTTCCCCCCCCCCCTCCCACACACACACATACAAACAATCTTTCACTGTAAATATAAATGCCCTGCTCCTCCTATTATACTGATTACAGTAGAGACGGGACTGGTGCTTTGCGTTTGAAACTTTGTTTGAAATACAAATGTATTATTATTTTGCTCAACCTTTTTTGCGTTTTATTTTACAGAATGTTGCTGTCATTTTATTCATATTTTAGAGATTGATATTGTATTTTTACTTATTGGATTTCAAAAAAAGGACAATTAACTAAAAGAGGAAAATGCGGGGCTCTGAAGGGTGCCACTGGTAGGTCCTACTTTTTTACTTTTCCCTCAGTTGTTTCTGTCTAAAAGTCGTACTTTTTCCAAGCACTCATTGACCATTATCGTGTCGGTGTGCTTCTGTACCCTAAAACTGGAACAAACGACATGACAAAATATACAAAGCAGGAATTATCTTCCCTGTACAAATGTACAAACTAAGTAACAACAGCAGGTAAGTCCACAATCGTTGGCAATGTCGCGAAGGCACCTATCTTCTTATTGCTCTCTATCTATCTATCT